TCCTGGCATCACAAAGAAAGAGTGCCAAATCCAGAGGTCCTGTGTGGCCACTGCCTCAAGTACCACACTGCAACCGCCTTTCGCGCCTTTGTACAACCCCTGCCAAGCAAATGGAAAGTTCTTCCATTTCCAATGCATGCAATCGATGCTTCCAAGCATCCCAGGAAATCCTCTTGCTGCATTCTGTGCTAGTATCCGAGCAGTGTCTTCCGCATTGGGTGTTCGCAAGTATTGCGGTCCAAACACTGCCACCACTGCCCTGCAGAACTTGTAGAAACGCTCAATGGTGGTGGACTCGACCATGCGCTCATAATCGTCGAGTGAATCACCAGGAGCTCCATATGCAAGCATCCTCATAGCTGTCGTGCACTTCTGAATTGAGGAGAATCCAAGTGTGCTGGTGCAATCCATCTTGCATTTAAAGTAGCTGTCGAACTCCCAGTTGAAATTCACAATCTTGAGGAAAAGCTTTCGGCTCATCTGATAACGGCGCCAAAATGTTTTCTTGCCATGCAATGGAGCGTCGGCGAAGTAGTCAGAGTAGAGCATGGAGTAGCCTTCCAGACGATGTCGGTTCTTTGCTTTCACCCGCCAGGCACCGGGCCACCTCGTCGCGGCTTTTCACTGCTCGCGAGCAGGCCGGCGAGGGTGACGAGCACCATGAGATGCTCCTGCTCCTGGACGTCGGCTTCGGCTTCCTCCTCTAGCAACGCCGCGAGCGCCTCCTCATCTTCGGAGTCCATCGCCGGGCCGGGCAAATCACCGAACACCTTGCGGGTGAGATGGGCGCAAACCCATAGGTGTACATGCCCTGCGCGTCCGGAACACCGGAAAAGTTGCCCGGACGGCGGCGGAGAGGCTGCCTCGGCGAAACCTCTTCTTTTTTCCAGACGGGAATGGTCTATCTAGCTGTGGTGGGCGGTGGACGGCGCCGGGGTCGGCAGGGTGGCGGCCGAGCGCAGGGGGGGGGGGTCGGAGGCGAATCTGGACGGGTGGCTTGACTTTTTGCCTGCCAGTGTGGCCCCATGTGCGCTTTTCCCTTCTGCTGGAGCCCCGAGCGCCCCGCCCCAGTGCGCCAGGTTCGGCCTGCGATCGCCGGGCGCAAAAATGGGCCGAGCCGGCGGAATATGGTGTCTTGGGGGCGCGACTGGGGCGTTTTATCGGCGCCGGCGCGAAAAAAATGCCTGGGGAGGGCCTGTTGGGGGCGCGACTGGAGATGCTCTAACCTCCCGCTGCTGCATCTTCTTGATTGATCCCCTTCCAGATTTGGTGAAGGATCCCACCGCCACCAAAAAAGCGGCCCGTTTGGAGATAGGTGTTCGGTTTGGTTGGGTCTTCCGGCCCAACAAGCCCAAGCCCAGGTTGGTATAGTTCCCAACCGCCGTCACTTTTCTTCGAAATCACTAGTTGAGGATTACTCGTTGCAAAGATCACTCCAACTTCCCTGGTTGTGATAAGTGGCGCACATGCAGCGCGTCACTTGTCGCAACCGGGGAGTTTTTTCTTTTTTCATAGATCCGTTTATTCAAAACGTTTTATCTCTCAAACCATGGGTCCAAATCTCGAACCGCTTTCACCGTTGGATTCCTCGCGTCAAGATCTTCAAAACTAGATCCCATGTTGATAGGTTTCGATGAACTTTTTTTCATAAAAAAGGGATGAAAAAACCGAACCGGAAGCACTGGGTTTTCCCCTTTCCAGAAGAGGCACGCCGTACCTCTCACGGAATCACAACCGTGCCTCTCGCGGAAGCAAAACCGTGACTCTGGCGGAAGGAAAGAAAGAGAAAACATGGTTTTTTTTTCGTTTCCGAGGAGGCACGGCCATGACTCTCGGGAAAGCACAACCATACCTCTCGCGGAAGCAAGACCGTGACTCTCGCGAAAGAAAAAAACAGAAAACACGCTTTTTCGTTTTCGAGAGG